ATCAGGAATGGTGTGTGTGATCCATCAGGAATGGTGTGTGTGATCCATTGGGAATGGTGTGTGTGATCCATCAGGAATGGTGTGTGTGATCCATCGGGAATGGTGTGTGTGATCCATCGGGAATGGTGTGTGTGATCCATCAGGAAAGGTGTATGTGATCAATCAGGAATGGTGTGTGTGATCCGTTGGGAATGGTGTGTGTGATCCATTGGGAATGGTGTGTATGATCCATCGGGAATGGTGTGTATGATCCATCGGGAATGGTGTGTGTGATCCCCACGCTGCCGTGTGAGGTGTGCATGGACCCTGCATCGCTGAGCAGGTTCTGCATGGTCTCTGTACCATCAAGGAACGCGTGCACGGTCCTTGCACCATCGCACAAGGTGTGCAAGGAGCACAAGACACCAGCAGCCTCCATCACTCCCACACGGCACCGTTTCTCTCCCATCCCGGGCGAATCCCCGAGCGCCGCCGCTCCCCCCGCGCAGCCCCGGCTCAGCGCAGCCCCCGGCCGGGGCAGGGCAGGCAGGGGCAGCAGGAGCAGAGACCGAGAGCCGCCGTCAGCAGGGCCGAGAGCCGCGACGGCCGCTGGTATTTGCCGGCTCTCTTCACCTCGCCGCCCGTCTGGGCCGCGCAGTCGAGGCTGCGCAGGACGTGCTGCTCCACGCTGTCGGCAGCGCCGTGCTGCTGGGCCAGCAGCCCCTCCAGCTGCACGAACAGCCCGCGGAGCTCCAGCATCTGCGCCTCCAGCTCCAGCAGCTGCCGCTGCCGCGCCTGGGCCAGCCCCAGGTGATGCTTGGCYTTGAGCTCCTCCAGGTCGCGGCCGACGATGCGAGGCCCCTGCGGGCTCTCGGCCAGCAGATCCACGTCCTGCGCGCCCAGGGTGATGCCGGCCAGCTCCGCCTGCCTCTGGATCTGCTCCTTCAGCCGCTGCCGGTAGCGGCTCTCCCGGGCGTAGTGGCGGGCSAGGACGGCGCCGTAGCGGCGCAGCAGCAGCCACAGCTGGGTCTGGCGGACGCGGGGCCCCGCTCGGCCCGAGCCCCCGGCCGGAGCCGCCGGCAGCGCTCCCAGCTGGGGCTGCAGGGCCGCGGCCTGGCGGGCGAAAGCGGCCCGGGCCGCGCCGAGGCCGCGCTTCTGGCGGGCGATGCTCTCCTCCGAGGTGCAGCACAGCACCGACTGCTGCGTCCTGTCGATGCTCTCCGAGAGCTGCTCCAGCCGCTCCAGCGCCCGCCACAGCTCGGCCGCCTCCTGCAGCGCCCKCCCCACCGGGCTGCCGTCGTCGCCGACGAACGCGGGGTTCTCGAAGCGCAGGGAATCGTCGTGCGGGTCCCCCTCGGCCGCCGCTCGCTGCCGCAGCTCCGCCAGCCGGTCCCTCATGCTCGGCGGAGCTCCGGCACCGTCTGCGGGGACGTGTGGGGCCGGAGGTGCTGCGGGAGCGGTGCGAGCGTTCCCTCCCGGCMCCAGAGCAAATATTGATGGAGGAGGGCAGGTCCTGCGTCAGCCCCGGGCCGGACACCGCCGGCGGAGGGAAGGGTTCGTCCCGGGCCGGGAGCGCTGCCAGCACCGCCCGTACCTGCGTCAGTAGGGCTACGAGCTCCGGGCTCCGCTCCTGACCCGCCGAGGCTCCGCACAAAGGAGCTTTTATTCGCCCAGACACAAGGACACCCAAAGGACCTGTCAGACGGGGCACGGAGGGGTTCGCTCACCCGGCACCACCGGCCTTCAAACGGCTCCACACAGCTCCAAGGGCACAAACACACCTGGAGCGGCCTCACAATGTGCCCCAAACCCTGCTCCTGGTGAGGATGGAACAACTGAAGGGTAAATCACACAGAATCACTGAATAAGCTGAGTTGGARGGGAYKCACAGGGATCATCGAGTCCAACTCCCGGCCCTGCACAGCTCCATCCCCMAAAATCCCACCCTGTGCCYCAACGTTGTCCCAACACTCCTTGAACTCAGATCATCCCATTCCAGTGCCTGTTGTGAACTGGAAAGGCAGGCAAAGCTTGGCCTCTCCCTCTTGTGCTCCAGGGGCCACCCGGTGCCCATCGATGTCCCCGGCAGCACCCTGCACACCTGCAGCATCATTAGGGTGAATTCAAACAGATATTTGTGTTTCCGGGGTTTTCCAGGCTGGAAATGAGYGTTGGGATGACCCAGCTGTCATGGGTCACTGCAAGGCAGTGTTGAGTCCACGCACTGCTGAAATGCATAAAAATCACAGTTGAATTCGGAGACATCTATAAAAATGATCATTGAAAAGGTTCTTCTACAAACTGCATTTCAAAAGTGCACAGGAAAAATAATTGTTGTCTACCACTCTGGTATTGTATATAATGTATTTTATAACATCTATTTTATAGAATGTATTTTATAAGGTGTATTATCACATATGACCTAAATAAGATGAGATAAAATATATAAAAGCTATGATATCATCAATATAATATCAACAGCAGGACAGCCAAGGGGGGWTAACAAAGGTCAAGCAGCTCTGAAGGGAGTGGAATTCCTCCCCTCCAATGCCATCTGATGGATGTGCATAAAGGGGGGGCTCCAGCCTCTCTGCAAAACAAGTTTAATTTTACTCTCTGTAACTATCGAGGCCAAAAAAAAAAAAAAAGCCCTTTGTCCCTGGGGTTTGGAGAATGAGTGTTGTGTTAAAAAGGAGATATTCATTCCCATCAGAGAGGAAATGCCACTGGAATCAGTGCAATAAAGTGAAATGTCAAATAAGTCAGCAGATTAATGAGGGGAAAATAGAATCCCAGAGTCATTAATGTTGGAAAAGGCCTCCCAGACTATCGAGTCCAACCAGTGCCCCATGCCCACCCTGTCACCAGCCCAGAGMACCGAGTGCCACCTCCAGTCCTTCCTTGGACACCTCCAGGAGTGGGGACTCCACCACCTCCCTGGGCAGCCYCTTGCAATKCCTGCCCACCCTTTCCATGAAGAAATTCCTCCTGAGTTTATTCCATGTATTTATTGTCAGCACCTGCCCCTGGCCAAGCCCGTACCTCCCCCAGCAGCTCTACACTAAACCCAGCCCCATCCACCCCCAAAAATCCCTGTCTAAACAATGTTATCGCTGCTATTTAACAAGAGGAGARATGGAAAAGCAGTGATTCCTTGTTTTCCATGAAATAATCCTTAGATAACAGGTACAACCTTCTCCTCGAGCCGGGTCACCCCCTGAMCCCACCTGTGTCCCACAGTGGCCAAGGGACCTCACCCAGAGCCTCCTCCCCTGCTCCTTTCGTGGCATTTTTAGCCATTTCACAGCATTTTCAGGCATTTTTCCCTTCTTTTTCCAAGAACTTATTAGTTGATCCTATCCTTTCCTAGAAAAATGTTGTTTTGGAGCCAGATCAGATGGTGATTGGGGTGAGGGTCTCCATCCCATCCTACTTCAGATATTCACAGTTTATAAAGCTTCTCTATCTACTTCATAAAGTTTCTTTATGCAGTTTATAAAACTTTCCTTTAAAACTATAAAATCAACCAGTTGAATCAAAAAGCAATTTTCTTTTTCCATTAWAACCTCCATTTTACCTACTTTTTACCTTTTAATGTCTCAGCTACTCAGGAAGCAATGCAAAACCAAAGTAAGAGTTTCTCTTTTTATTTTTTTTTATTAAGACAATCCCACAGCTGGAAAATGAAACATCCTAGATTACATCAGTGACTTCAAAAAAACTCTAGAAAAAAATCTTTACAAATTTACATTTGTACAATACAAAAAACTAACAGCTCATTGCATATAAATATTACATTTGGTCTGCCAACATGTGGCATCAAAATCCCTGAAGTATTCATTAAAGGGACCTGAGATAGCGGATGTGAAGATATGGGCATAAATATCACCTGAAAAAAAATTAATATAGAAAGTAGACATAATTCTAATAGTTTTGTGCATTTTTGGAGTATTTTAAATCCAGAACACAACCTGGAGAGCCTAAATCACGKAAATTTTGCTCTGACATCAAGTGGTATTTCTACATGAAATCTGCTCTAATGACTCATGGAGGAATGAAGAGCCTGAATTAATATTTCTACAGAAATATTTCTACAGAAAAATAATCCTCAGACGTTGAGTTCTGAATGCACCCRAGCATCCACCACTCTCTGAGGAGGAATTTTAGGAAGAGAAACGGTGGATTTGGATTTTACCTGCAAATATTCCAGCAGGATTTCACCCCACCCCCACCCCCCAAAACGGCTCCTCACAGACCCAAACCCCAGGAAGATCCGCAGTGCTTGCCAAAGAAAACCCCCAAACTGAGAAACTGCTCCTAATTGCCCACTGGTGGAATTATATCCCAACTATTTACACATTTGCCAGCTCCCCAGCGTGGCTGCAGYTACTACCAGGAGTAGTAACTCCAAGTGCTTGGTTTGCCTTAGGAGTCTCACAGACTCGGATCAGGTACCCACATCCACGCACATAAATGTATTTCAGCACCATTTTTAGAACACATTTGAGTTAAGGCTGTGACAGCAATTCCCACTGGAAATTGAAATTTTTCAGGGATTCGTAGCACAGTTGTGTGAGTTCGCTGTGGGCCGAACAGGACGTAGTAAAAATGTACAAGCTTCCAACAGGTCTTTGCATTTCTAAGACTAAAAAAGACACGTTTTTAGACTAAATTTTGCAGGCTGTTACTTACTGTACATAAAGGAGTTTTTTTTTTTTACCATGTGTAAACCTTGGATATACTAAAGAGTTGAAAAATCTCTGTCGCTCATGCGCGGGGATTTGCTATAATACACATTGTAAGAACACAACAGCTCCCTACCTACTAAATATAGAGTTAGCCTTGGAGGGGTAACTGCTCCTTCAGAAAATCATCAGCATTTTATAAAACTTTGCAGGATGGTTTTTAAATAAAAAGATAAAATTAAGACATGTAAACACACAAAGATGTTTTTAACTCATGAAATCCATGACGGGACGCTCCAGATCAGGACAAGACATCCTTAAACCTACAGCTGTTCACTTTTCCCTGGTGCTCACCACTCAAAGATGGAATTAATCAAGTTCTTATCAAAAACTAGTGATTTAAATTCCTTTTTCTCATGTATATATTCTGTGATTTGGAGCACAAAAACATTCCTGAGACACCCAGGAGCAGCTTTTCCAAATGCTTGGCAAAGGTCATCTTGCTTTTGGGAGTCAAGAGAGCCTCCAAATATTCAATTTTTTTTTTAAAATTAATTAAAAACTCTCTGCCACACCCCAGGTGCCAGCTCTTTTTCATGCTCTCTGAACTTCTCAGTCCTTCTGCTTCCACACAGGAGAAGCAGCTGATGGACATTGAGGAARACWTTCCAGGAAAATGAAACTACACAAYAGGATGCAGAATYTGAAGCAGCCAAAAATCCYCCATGAATTATTTCTCCACRATTCTTTGCAGTTTTTGTGTYGSCAGGGTGGTGGTGGTTGGGATTAGGGGGTGGCCTCTGCTTGTCTGATGGAGAAAGGAGTGATGGAAGGAGGGAAGAGGGATAAAACTGCCCAGATGCATCCGAGTTCAAGCACCAAAACAAAGGCTGTTTGGATTAAACTTTACAGCCTGGCAGGCCAGCTGAAATAAAATTCATCACGGTATCTAAAGTTTTCAAGAGAATAAATAAATGGCCTATAAAAGGAARCTACAGGAGAGAGGTGGAGCATGACAAAGAGGAAAATAAAAAGTGATGGAGAAAATAAAAAGCAGGTGAWGTTTGGGCTGAATCATGGAATCACTGAGGTTTGAAAAGCCCTCCAAGGTCATCAAGTTCAACCAAATCCCAGCAGGGCCACTGAGCCACCAAGGACCACGTGTGCTCAGTTCTTGGATGGTGACTGCCACCTCSCTGGGCAGTCTGTTCCAATGCCTGACCACTCTTTCCAATAAAAAATTTTCCCTAATGTCCAAGACAACAGCATATCATTACTGCCAAGTAAGCTTTGTCACCCACGCCCTGGTCTGGAGAGAAAGGGGAGCACTACAGGGACAGTGGATTGGAGCTGGGAGAAGGGGAGAGCAAAGACACCACATTTCAGCCCCATTTTGTGGAGGATGGAGTGTGGGGGCCTGAGGCCTTTTCCAGGRTGTCCCCAAGTGCCCTGAGGTGCCCCAGCAGCTCAGGATTGGGATCCTGCCAGCGAGACATCTCAAGGGAACAGAGGCACCAATGCCCAAACATCTACAGGAACAGAGGAGCCCCTGGCCTGCCTGCTCATCCTTAGGAATCCCATTCAAAATCAGACCTTAAAGCCCATTCCTCAGGCAGAGGCTGGAGTTTTTGTAGAGAGTGCAAGGAAAGATGGCACAGCCCTGACTCTGCAGCCTGCCTGGAGCTCAGCACCTTTGGGAYGGTTTAAATCACTTTAAATCCTGTTTCTGCTGCACCTGGGGGACTCATCCTAAATCTACCATACCCATAAGTGGCTCCTGATAAGATTTGGGATTTGAGAGCATCCAAGTTCCTGCAAAAGTGTCATTATTCCACAGAACTATGAGAAATCAACTGCCCAACTCAGAGAAAGAATCCAGACACAAATCCAAGCAAAAAGAACAGCTCTAAACCCAACTTATTTGTCATGCTCATTAAAGTTTCTCATGCAGAAAAAAAAAGCTTTGTTTTTTCAATTTTTACACTAAATTCTGCTGTCCCAGCACCCCCTGGTCTAGCTCACAGTCATGGGACACAGTAATACTTACGCCACAGCAAAGTGATGCTTCATTGGTATCTTCACAGTACAGAGAAAAGATACAGTTAAGAACATATTTAATATTATTCTAATTGCTGCTAAAATACACCAACTCATAAAATGATTTCTCTGGAATCCCTGTGGTTTCTCTCTCCCCGACTCCTACACARA